CTTTTTGTTGTGCTCATATTTAGACGTCCTATTTTGCAAATGCTGCCTTTTTGAAATTTGGTATGCTTGTTTGTCTTTGTGTCTATGGTTTATAATGATGTGATTGTGATGCTGTAATTCTGAGTGTTTATGTGCTGCAGAACAGGAACCTGCTGTAAAGCAGCAATTATGCTGAGTCAGGCTTGATTTTTAATAATCTTTTCCTGTTAAATAAATAAATCAAATCAATATGTGTATATATTTTTTTTATGCAGACGGCTGCCTTTAGATTGCAAGGTTTTAAAATGGTGTCTGAAATACTTTGTATCTCATGTCCAAAACTTAAACCTGATTTAAATAATACACCAAGTTAGAATGTCTTTAGCTGACAAAGGTTATTATCCTCATAWTTTTTCTCCATTCCCATTCTGTCTGTTTTATTTTGCATCCTCTGCCTGAATCGGTCCCTCTGTTCTCTCCCTCCTGGCCAGCGGGGCGGACTATGGCTCTCTGCTGATGAATCTGGGCTCAGAGAACTGCGCCACCCTGCTGCACTTTGTTCTGATGGAGAACAAGATCCTGCTGCACTCTCTCAGACCTGACGTGCTCACTGGGGTGGCCGAGGCCGTGGTGGCTGTGAGTAGAACCTCATTAGTAAGCTGTTCGTCTTCAGGTTCTGGTACATGCGCCGGGCAAATCCACAACAACAAAATCAATAAAATAGAGGAGATTTGTTGCCAAATTTTAGCATCTTGTTTTATTATCGTAACTTACAGTAATACCCTCTTCATTCTGGATATTGACCCCATTACAATCATCACAACAAAATTTGAAAAACCTCCACAATTTGATTATTTGCAGATTCCTTTAGCTGGCGTTTAAAAACTCATTGTTTTATTTTGACTTTTTTCTTTTTGCTCAGATGATCTTCCCCTTCCAGTGGCAGTGTCCATACATCCCCATTTGTCCACTCTCCTTAGCCGACGTCCTCAACGCTCCGTGTCCCTTCATCGTGGGCGTGGACTCCCGTTACTTCGACCTCTACGACCCCCCGCCCGACGTGGTCTGTGTGGATCTGGACACCAACACCATCTACCTGTACGCACKCAAGGACAGCCTTCGACAAACCTGTCAAACAACGAGCCCAGATGGGTTTGTGCCACGCTGTTGTTGGTTCCGGCTGATGAACTCTGTGATGTTTTGTGTCRCAGGTCTGATGAGAAGAAACACAACAACTGGAAGAATCTCCCAAAGAAGCCCTGCAAGAGTCTGATCAACTCGCTGAGCAACCTGCACCACCAGCTGGCCGCAGGTACAAACAACATTCTCTGTACTACTCAGAATAAAACTCTGTTTTTAGCAAGAGTTGTACTATAAGCTTGAAAAATGACATGAACCAAAACMTMACTGTTTATGTCCGATTAAGTACTAATAACAACTGTTTGGCAGAACATCGTGTCTAAGTGTTGTCCGTCTATTTATTCCTGGCTCTTGGACTCTGGTCGGTGTGGCAGTAGCAGTGCATAAGGCTCCACAYGGGGACTTGGCGTTGGACCTTAGCCCCTTTGACGCTGACTTTAAGTGGCAGAAGAGGAAAATGGGCCTGGAAATGGAGATCCAAGAAGCCTTCCTCCGTTTTATGGCATCCATCCTAAAGGACTACCGAGGCTACCTCAAACCCATCACCAAGGCACCGTCCGAGAAGTCCACGGCTATAAACTCCCTTTATGACCTGCAAGGTGAACAAATGACCTCGTCTATAATAAAAATGTATTTCAGCTGGTAATCTGGGTCCTTGTTTCCAAAACTTGTCCTCACTTAGCCTCTAATCAATGCAGGATATAGATATAGATCTATGGTCTCATGCCTGCTTATTTTACTACCTTCCTAAATAGCTGCTTGTTAATTGATCAACAGTGAATGTTTGTTAAATAATTAAAAGCTAAAATGACATTTTAGTGCAAATGTTTTYTAATTATGATCAAACATCAATGTTTCCTCTCATAGACTTTCTGAAGAGTCGAGACCGAGCCCATCAGAAGTTTTACTCCCAGCTCACCAAGACMCAGATATTTATCCGCTTYATTGAGGAGTGCACCTTCGTCAGCGATAAGGACACGGGCCTGGTGTTCTTTGACTACTGTATGGACAAGGTGATTAGCAGCRTCAGGCTTCTGTTTTGTTTTTGTGGTTTTTTGTTATTCAACGATTTATTGGCCAAAAAACTGATGAACTCCCAGATAAAGGTATCGTAGTTCTTCAGGCTTATTTTAACGTGATCCTCGGTGCAGATCGAAAAAGAATCGTCCGAAGATACCAAGCTGCTGGAGCTGGACGAGTCTCAAAAGAGTGAGCACACCGTCTTCGTGATGCCTCCCGAACCACCGCCGGACAACGGACCAGAACCTGCTCCCCGCTACACGTGAGCGAGCCGCCGTGTTTTTCCTTCCGACGGTCGTTTTRACAGGTTTCCTGACGATTTTTGTCTGTTCGTTTTCCCAGCTATAAAGGTTTCCCGAAGCTGCAGCTGAGTCTGTTCGACCGTCCCAGAGAGTTACGGCCCGCGCTGAGCAGCAGAGCGGCTGGGGCCAGTCTGTCMAGCAGCCCCGCTCTGCTAACCAAGAGAACCAAGCAGGTCTGTGCAGCAAAAACTGCAAATAGCAGGGGTGTGATGAGGTCTCACAATACTGACACTTTACGAGATTTCCAGTTGAGTTGAACACTACCCACAGGCTTCCACGGATCCTTAAAAAGTCTTAAAATGCATTGAAAGTCTAAAAAATAAGACCTTAATAATTAGCTTTAAAATGTATTAAATCAGTCTTGAATTGTGACCCATCGCATCGAAACGAGGATTAAGTCTAAAAGCGGGATATGGAGGAATAGGCAAATATAGTGTTTTGATAAAAATGTTAACAAAAATTACCTTTTGTCAAAATATAATGAATAAAAGCCTTATCAATGTATCATTTGAATGAACTGTCTGGAATATAATCATAAAACAATATTTTGAAGCACTTTTTTGAGCAGTAGCAACAAAAAAAACTGATTTTGAGGAAAAACACCTTAAAATTTTGAGGTTTTCCCTGTGATCTAGAAATGTTTTTATTTCTTTTCAGCTAGGAAATCTCAATATTCAAATATAATTTGAGGTTTCCTCTTTATAAGGACATCAAAAATTCCTCATTAAAATTACATAAAATTAGGATTCAGGCCTAATATTTTTGTATTATTGTAACCAACAAGACAAATAAAGTCATAAATATGGATTTACTTATGATATCAGGATGATTTAAGTATCAAAATGTAGCTTTTAAAGCCAGGAATCTTAAAATGTATTTAGGTCATTTTGACCAAATTTGACTTGATCCTCTTTTTGATATGATGGGTCACAATTTGTTAATACATCGTGAGAAGAATGACTATTTCATCTCGAATATTAAAACAATTGGTTATATTTATTTATTGAAATAATTTACTAAATGTCTCTCACAGCTAGTTGTTTTGTGTTTTATATAAACATTTGTCTTTATTATGAAGTTGGTCTTAAATTTTGCCAGTTGAACTTGTTAAGTTGCCTCCAGGCGCATGGACCAGCATGACTTGCATCAGAGAAACTGTTTTTTATAAATGTTTAATAATAATAGGCTTCTGTAGAACTTGAAAAGGTACTTCAACCACTTAATCAATTGTGTTTGAGCAGAGAAAACCTTTTAAAACGTGCAGGATAGTGGGCCTCGAGGACCAGGACTGGACACCCCTGAGTATGAGAGGTGGTGACATAAAATATTAAAAACCGGTAAAGGAGTTTCCCTCTAATGTCCTCTTCGGTCAGTTTTAAGTTTCCTCAACTTGCTCTTAAATGCCGTCACATCTCATAGCTACAAAGCGTCTGAATTTATTTTATCCACAATTCCAGTATTTTTTTTTCTTTCTGACTAATGAACATTTGAATGTCTTCATGACTATTTTGACATGGAAGAAGTGCTGTTCCAGAGTTGTAAAGTAACTAAGTACAAATACTTTGTTACTGTACTTAAGTAGAAAATTTGGCTATTTGTACTTTACTTAAGTAATTTTTTTCAGTCTGCTTTTTACTTCTACTGCTTACATTTTTACACAGTTATCTGTACTTTCTACTCCCTACATTTAAAAAAAGTAAGAAGTAGAAAGTCATTACTCCTATTTCATTCACCTCATTAACTGTGCCTTTGAATTTAATTGTGGTTGGATGAGAAGTATAAATATATACCATTCTGACACATATTAGTTTGTACACAATCCATCACAGCTGCATGCCTTTAAAAAATGTATTTGGAAAATCTAACCTCATTTTTACTCAATACTTTTAATACTTACGTACACTTTTTGTCAAAAATTTACTTTAGATACTTAAGTACAAAATAAATCAGATGCTTTAAGACTTTTACTCAAGTAATATTCTTAGAGGAGACTAACTTTTACCGAAGTAATTTTATGATAAGATATTTGTACTTTTACTCAAGTATCACTTTGTGGTACTTTATACAACCTTTCTAAAGTCTGAAACAATCAGGAGAGAAGCCGATCACTTACGTTTGTGGCAAAACATTAAAACGTTAAAATCTCGCCTTGTTCTCAGAAGCCCAGGTCTTGTGAGCGTCCCGTTGCACCCCTGGTCGATAACAAAGTACCTCCTGTTACAACTTAATCCGTTCAATCTTCTGTGACGGCTTCAACAGGAGATGAAGCTGGGCCACAAGCTGGCGAAGCGTTACTACACCAGACCGCACCTGTGGGGCCAGTACCTGGTGTTCCATTGTTACACCCTGTGGTTCATCTGCCTGCCTGCAGGGGTGCAGGTGGCCAAGTCCAAGCGTCGGGCCATGCAGCAGGCCTTCAACCTGCTGCTGAGGATGAGGGCCACCGAGGTGGAGATCCTGGACGAGGTATCTGACAAACAACGACGCGGTGGTTGTTCTGGCGGTGATGGTTTCTAAGCTCTGCGTCTGGTGGTCAGGTGTGTTACAGGGTGGTGTTGCAGCTCTGCGGTGTTTGGAGTTTTCCTGTCCTGGCGGTGCGAGTCCTGGTCGAGATGAAAAGATAYGGAATACAACCCAACGCCATCACATACGGCTACTACAACAAGGYTTGTTCTATTGTTTTGCTTCAGAAAGACGTTAATTAAAGTGCCTGTGACATTAAATTGAAGTGATAT